CTTTGTTCGGCCGCGGGTTCTCACCACTTTGACCCCTCCAAAGTCGAATCGTGTCGCTCAGAGAAAGTCGTAGTTTGCGCACCACTTCGGATATCCCGGATTGAAGGAGGGGGGGGGCATTGATGAAAAAGTTTGGCTGCGTTTGAACTGTCCTTGGTGAGATCAGGGAGGTGGGATGCGGGACGCCATCTTTCCGAAACGCAGAATCTCTGTGTGCCAGGAGCTTGACCTCATCCTCACGTAGGTTCGTTCGTTTCAAGACGCTCTTGAACTGCTGTAACAACCGCGATACTTATTTTGAATGCAGGTATCCGGGTACATCGCACTTTTCAGACACGACTGCTCATTTCGGAGCTGAGACCGTCGTATTTCTCCACAACGTACTCTTGTACAATCGGTGCAAGGGTATCTGGGGTGAAGTGGGCCAGAAACTCGCATGTGCAGCGGTCTGATACCTTTGAAGGACAGTCTTTGCCGATATGTAGCGAAGGCAGAGCTGCTTGCCGTTCAGGCGAGGTGCTGCCTGAATCACTGCAATCGGGACTTGGCGGCGCGTAACCTGGCTGCTGTTTCCACGATTGCTTCAGTACGAAGGTCGGTCCGATGATTCCAGCTGAGGCTCGTGAAGTTCTCGCTTGGCGTGCCTCGCGACTTGATCGCGTCCTCTCGATCGTTTTAATAGCATTCCACCCAACTCTAAGTCCAGCATGCAGAACCGACGGGACAATTCTGAGCGCGTGGACGTGCCATGACTGATGTCGAATTCCGTAGCACGACGGTGTTCCCCCAACACGTTGCTGAACCAGAACGCGGCGGCCTTAACTTCTTCAGATGACCATGGAGCGTAGTCGTTCAGCTCTTCAGAGAAGGCTTTTGCTGTCGTAATAAGGCGTCGAGTCGGAGCGTGGAAGAATTCCTCTGCGTACTTTTCCGAGAATACTCAGTGAGTCGCACAAGCTATCGTGACTTGGGTTTACTGGAAGACTGGGCAGCGACACCTTCACCGAAAAATTGGTGAGATTGACCGCGTTCGATCCTGCGTGGTCGAGCTTGGCATTTAAGTTGAAGCAGCGGAAGTGAAGGATTGACAATCAACATACGCCAAAATCAAAGTCGTACAGTCGACTGAGCACCGCTGGGTGAGGCAGGAACTTCGTAGCATGGGACGACCTGACGTGTTCAACAAATAGTGCGGGGGACTTACCTCTGTGTTCAACAGCAGTGATTGCGTC